GATGCAGTGTTTAAAGAAAGAGAGGAGGCCTGTGGTGTGAAAGAGGTTGTTGGGTTGAAAGCGAGGGAAGGGACCAAGCAACGGGCCAATCAACTACTACAAAGGCACAGAGGGGGACAAGCCAGCCGATCCTTATTTCTTCGTAGGCGAGCGGGAGAGTTAGTGACCTATTCTATATCAAGGGTTAGTTACCTATTGCTCTTAACCAACCAGTGCTTCTTAGACTCCCTATAGAAGTTATCAGAGAGAAAGGATTTTCAAGCAAGGGTAAACTGCGGCATACAATCAGTTCAGTTCACCAGTTTACAGGGGTTTGGTAAAAAATAAGAGAAATTGACCTACTTCTCGCCACCCCACCTGAGGAGTATAATTGAGAGTTATAGGCTTTAAACACCTGATTGGGAGTGACTTGTATAGTAGTGTCTTGCCTAGTCTTGATCCAACAAGCAGCCAAGCCGACAATGAGTAAATATAGGTTGACAGCCCCAACTAGACTACCGGTACCTACCATATCTTATATTTGGAGTACCTATGGAATTCTATCCCTAGTAGTTATCGGGCCAAGGAACTACTTCAAAGCCAAAGAAAGAGACTACACTTATTCTCTTGCCCACCTCTCGGAGAGGAGAGGAGCCTAACTTACTAGCCTTCGCATTCAACATTCCATTCTTTATACGATGACTTTCAATCCTACTCCACGAGACCAACCACTTTGAGCGTAGAGCGTACGCGGCACATTGCCGACCAGAGAAGTCAGGAATACGAGTAGATTCCACCTACCTATGTTCTTTGGTTACCATATTCGATATGTGTGTCAGTCAGTTCAAATATATGACTTTTCTTTCGCCCAATAGCATTAGCGAGTTTACTTGCACTCTCTGAAACAAGCTTTAGGCGCTAAGGGATAGCCTATCAACTCTATGACTACACTCGAACTAGGCGAACAAAAAGACAAGAAGGGCAAAAGAGGATATTCGGTTTCTGGAACTCTCCTTGAAGTGAAGAAAAAGAATAGATATCTTAGAGCATATATCTAATTTAGGAATGAATGTCATCCAGCAGAAACTCCGTAAGCTTAAGTAGTTCGCTAACGGGAGCTAAAGAAGGCAAGGCCAACACTCGCATCGCAAACGGAAATGGAATATCTCTCTTATTGAGCACATGGGGTATAGTATCGATTTTTGTAACAAGAGAGTACACTCCATAGCCCTTACTTTCTCCGGAGTCTTAGACATTTTTGCCTATAATCTTGAGACCCTCTTAACATCTTAAATACATATTGACCCTCTTGCTCTGTAACTCCGGACTTATGTATTTCATTAGAACTCCTTTAACTCCGTACTTTGGGGTGGAATTCTGATAATACTGTTATGGCTCTGGACTACTTATACCACTAGTTGGGGCAAGAACTATACTGGAATAGCTTCCCTTTATGAGCAAGTCCTTGCTAGCGCATCTAGTATATCTTAATTCTTCTATCGAGCTGGTACGATCTAGCATGCATAGCTCCAGCCCCGGATTCTCACCTTATCGAGTCGACTTCAATGGAATTGCATTCTGAGTTTAGGGTTGACTTCACTTAGTTGCCTTAACTCTCTAACACTTCTTTCTTGCTAAAGTCTCTAAGGTAGGAATATGACCCTTTGTTTCTATATGGATGATATTCCTATTGATAAAAGAAGAGTTCTCGGGCAAGAAGAGAATCAAGTACTGGTGAGGAGTAGAGATCATACGAGTATATTTCTGTTCTTGCGGGAAAGGAAGCCGAATCAAAGTTCTCTTGCCCACTACGCGGATTAAGGTTAGCTAAGCAAACTACTAATAAACTATCAGAATTATGCTAAGCAAACTACTCGTGGAATTATTAGAATCTAATAACATGCTACTATTACATGACATGCTACTTACTATTACCATTATTATTATTATTATAGAATAGATAGATAAGTAACCGTATTATTCTATTAAGAGAATAGCACTGCACTAATGAACCCAGCCACTGTCTAATAGGCTTACTGCCCTTACTTACATTATCAATAAAAGAATCAAGAGTTTACACAATAACTAGTTCTCTCGGGTAGGCAGGGAGAATGCCACTGGGGTGCTTTCTAATTCTAATACTGAACTAACTAATACTGAACTAACTGCTAGCAAAGAACTAGCACCAAACTATACAAAACCCACTCGGATTCTTTAAGCACTGATACGGATCTTTGCTTCACTAGCTCCAAAGCCCCTACTACTGATTTGGATCCTTCCTCTCAAACCTATAACCCTAGCTCTTACTGGCCAAACCAACTAGAAGTCTCCCATTACTTTATCTTAGCTTGACACCGCTTACGGCTGTTTAAACTGAAGCTGCTGATAAACAGACTCGAACTACTAATCAAAGAACTAACTAAACTAGGAACTAGGGGGGCTACCCATACTTGAACTCAGTGCACCGGAGAACAAGAATCAAGCTAGCCACTATCAGAATTTCACCAAGCAGTATAAAAGAATGCAATTCATAAGTAAAAGACCAACTAAAAGACCTCAACAAGTACTAGCTTTGAAACAAGGTAAAGAGGAGATGGGTCCTTTTCTTAATAGTGCTTGGATTACCACCTTATAGTCGAGTTCTTTGCTTTCCCGAGCAGTGCTTGCTTGGCTTTTTACCTTAGTTGTGTCGTGGAGAGAGAATCGATGCAGTGCGCTTGATTGACTAGCGGCCCTGCCGTTCCTATAGCTCGCTACCGCGCCTAACGAGGCTTGGTCATTAGTAGTGTCTTGGCGGGTAGGGGCGGATAATCTACTTGAGTTCGAGTTTCCTCTAGGTTGCGAGTAAATGTTATCTTATCGAAATAGAAATATTTGAGATATAGAATTTCTATTGGATATTGGGGAGCAGCTGCTCCTAGGCTAGGCGATTATAAGATTAGTTTCGAGTTTATGCTTTCATTTCGAAATTGAACTCTAAGTTAATAAAAAGAAGAATGGGCTCCGTATGATATAAGTCAGTAACCAAATGAGATAAGTAAGTAACCAAGGATAGGAGATAGGTATAAAAGTTCCTGTTCTAGGATCAGAAGTTGCAAGCGGCGGGGCGCCCAGAAGAATCATCCTTAGTTCTCAAGTCAGCAGCCCACGATTCTGCAAATGAAGGAGAGGTTGGCCAAAGGGAACAAGTGCTTGTTAGTTAAGTCGACATCAACAATAGAAGAAATAGTCGAAAGGAACTCAGCAGCAATGAGGTGTGGATCTCGATGATAATAAGAATCAAAGGATTGCGCTAGGTACGATATAAAGAAGTAACCGACCATGTGCTCTTAACTCCCAAGCCAAATCTGAATTCCACAAATGAGTACAAAAATGTACCTACATCTTGTCAACCCAGAGTACTAGTATAATCTTAACAAAGCTAAGTAGAAATATGATCTGATATAAGAAAAAACAAATTCAGAGTGGAACTTGGCATAGAAACTCGTAAAGACACTGAACGCACAAGGACACGCACTTCTGGACCAATACTGGAATCTGTAACTGGCAATTCATAAGCTTCATATGCTCCTGCTTCTTATTCAGCTTCGTATAAATATATCTTAATTGTATTTTCATACCATATAGGTTCTATTACTAACTCACTAACCATACTATTACTAACCATATAGATTCTATTACTATTAAGTAACTATATAAGTAATATAGAGTGGAGTAATGATTAGGAGAAAATGATATAAGTAATATAGAGTGGAGTAACGACTAGAGGAGAAAATGCAAAGTGTCAGTGGAAGTTGGAAAGCAAGTAATGGAAGCTGACAAGCAAGGCTTAGAGTCCAGGGAGGCAGACTAACAGGGTAAATAAAGGATTTCAAGGTGTGGGTCGGTGCTATAGTTTCTAGTTCAATTCCATCTTGTTGGCTCGGAGGGGCATACTGGAACGAGAGCCAGGGTAGGTAGGGAGCAAAACGAAGAAGTATCTGATCACCCATCAAAGAGAAGAATGCCAGGAACGCGAATCTAAGAGGAATGCCGGGTACAAATACAGATGTGAGGTCGCGAGGGGCAAGGTTAAGAGTTCGCAGTGACATACTAAGAATAGAGTAGTGGATCTATCCGGTAATAGAGTAGTAGATCCATCCGGGTAGTGAGTCACATTTCACCCAGTATAGTATCCATTCTGATTAGTCGTAGTGTGATTACTCGTTTCTAGATTCATTCTGTTAGTAGTATAATGGTAGTATAGTTGGATGCGCCCTACATCGTACTTATTCCTATGCCAGAGGATTCTATTCTTATAGTTAGAGTAGTTAAGGAATACAAGTAAGTAAAGACAGACTGATAGATTCGAAGGGCAGGCTAACAGGTGATAGGATAGGATCTATCGGTAGTTAAGGAGTCCGGTAAAATTGATAGGTTCAAATCATAATCAAGGGCGGCCCTAAAGAGTGGGTACTAGGTTCCGTTACGTACTAGGTTCAAGTCGAGTAAGTGGATCGTTGGTTAAAGGATAGCAGTAAATCAGAGCAGATTAATCGTTTTTAGTAGCTTGGTGACTTCGCTAGAACATATAAGAATCAAAGTCAGCAGCTAAAGAATAGAGGCTCAGAGTGAGAGTTGGTAGTGAAAGCCCGAGAAGAGAGATACACGGAATGAAAGGCATGAGCCTCAGCTTGTAAGTGATACGTAAATACGGGAGGTGAAGTTTACCTTGGAGACTTGATCTTAGAGACAGGAACTACAGACTCAGGGCGAGTGTAATAGAAGAATCTCGGGTGAGCTGAAGAATGAGAGCAAGGGCAGCAAAGCAGCTGGCTAGAAAGCATAGTTTCAGGATGAAAACAAGTCACGTAAGCCTGAGTTATCGTATGAATACTTGTCGAAGCGAGTTGGTGCGCTCTTTCTGTAAACAGCAGCTCTCGCTCTTCACTTCAGCAGAAGCTAATCCCGAGGGTCTGTGGGAAATAGGCTTTGATTGTGGAATTCGGCCAGTAAGCATGATGAGTCAACAGTTCGGCACTACCCTTTCTTGCGGAGGCCCTATACTAATAACTTGGCTTGCAGGACAAAGGCAGCTACACCGGCGTTAGCGAGCTTGGCTTTCCTTCCCTTTCCTTTTGCTACCCGATCGCTCTTTTGACTTTGGCTCTTTATCTGTATACTATTTATTATACACATCCCCGTTTCTAATCCATAATAAAGAGATGAGTTAGGATTCACTAAATAATAATAAAGAGATGAGTTAGGATTCACTAAATAAAGGACAAAAAGAATCAATGGGCCACCCACAGGAGAACCAACCCTTTCTCGTATCTGGCACTAATCCTTTTTGCACTTAGAATTGGAATGGAATAACTAATAGATTGAGCAGCAGCTCGTAGAGACCACCTTCCTTATAAAGAAATCAATAAAGAACATATCTCTCTTATCTTGAAATAAAGAACATATTGATCTTATCCTATATCTTGAAATAAAGAACATATTAATCTTATCTTATATATATATGTGTATGTTTCTATCCATATCCTGACATAAGAAGCCCAATAGGAGCAAGCAATACTGGAAAGGGCGATCCGAAAGACCTATACGGAGATCGGCTAAAACGCCCCAAAGGCATTACAAAAAGCACTTAGTAGAATGGATATGCCCACTATAGACAATACTAAACAAACTCTCATTTCTTCTAGACGGTATAAGGTCCTCTTTTCTTTCAAAGTGTCTTCTATCTGCTAGAGCTTGAATCATTCCCAAGGTTTTGCCAATACGTTGTTGTATCGCTGCAGATATTTCTCTTTCTAACCACACAATGAAAAGTACTTCCTCCTATTGTAATTCCGTGGTACAAAGATCTATAGGAGTCCATATACTAATATATAACTAAGGATTCCGATGTCTCAAAAGAAATGGTCGTTTTTACTTCGAATCGAATTAGGCATTAATTTCTGATCTATTACGCTTCACTTCTAAATGATCATAGGGTCTGTCTCCTCCAGTAAAGCCTTTCTAGAGCCTGTGGAATAAGAGCAACAATATGGATTTCTTCATTTCACCGATATTCGTACCAAATAATGAGCTAAGGCTTTCAGCTCCTTCCTTTTGCCATTGTACTTTCCCAATCTCATTCATTGTCAAACTCAACATTATCAATGGAAGGCGCAATGATAGGTAAGCAGTCTACGAAGCAAAGCCCCTTGCATTACAGAAATAGTTATGAACTGACTCCATTCCCTTAGTCTCCCGCCAAGCTAGCTAATCTAATAGTTTCTAGTTCCATTCCTTCTTCTTAACTTTAACCAACACTTAATTCAGAACGAAGGCCACCATCCTTCTTATTCTTTATTGATTTCTTTCTCGAGTGGATTTCTGGGTGCTAAGGCCCTGGAAAGGGGAGAGTAGCTGAGTGGTCAAAAGCGACAGACTGTAAATCTGTTGAAGGTTTTCTACGTAGGTTCGAATCCTGCCTCTCCCACTTATTGTTGTTGTAGACTCAAGATAAGATCAAGTAGGCGTCAGCGTAGGCCGAGCGAAGCTCTTTCTCTTTAGTAAGATAGACTAATTGCAATTGTATCGTATGCTAGTTAGAGAGGTTGGCGAACAACTACGATCGTTAGATATTCCCATTATCAGCTATATCCAATCCCAACTAGAATAGAAGCTAGGCGTAGGCTTTACGTCTGTCGGCACACGCATGCACCCTTAATAATGCCTCCTTGGTTCGGGACAAAGCCCAGCGATACCCTTACCCAGCAGCCAGCAGCCAGCAGCTGACGCTGACCTTACTTTTCCGTTTCAAACTCCTCGAAGCTTCTTAGCCCTCGGAAGCAATGCTCTGTTTTTCATAGATTCTCCACTTTAGATTAACGCTTCTATACTCGATCTTAACGCTATATTCTTTAAGCATCTTAACGCTATATTCTTTAAGCAATGCAAGTATGATCGAGGATTGGACTTTAAGCAATGCAAGTATGATCGAGGATTGGAGAGGGATAGGTGGATTCAAAAGCTCAGGATGGAATGGAATTCAGAGTCTTTGTGCGAGCCGTATGCGGTGAGAGTCGCACGTACGGTTACGAGGGGGGTTAGCGTCTATACTATAAGTTTCTCAAACCCACCCTATTTGTTCCATGATCTATGGGTCTACTGGAGCTACCCACTTCGATCAATTAGCCAAGATTTTCACCGGATACGAAATAACTGGTGCTCAATCTAGTGGTATTTTTCTTGGGATTCTCTTTATCGCAGTAGGATCCCTATTCAAGATCACTGCAGTTCCTCTTCGGGCGGCTGTAGGACGGACGGCCCCCTATAGGTATACGCGTAGGATGGGTGGTACCGCTCATATTGTGGCTAATCCTCCTAACTGCACGCTAGAGCGCGTGAAACTAATCACTACCTCGTAAGAGCGTTGAGACCATAGCATGTTACACAAAAGCTAGCTTTCTCCGTAGTGTTGTCACACAGCTGCCCGACTAGAAGAGCCACTCGCTCAGTAGTGTTGTCACACAAGATAAGCATGCCTTAGCCAGCAGGCCGGGCGAATCTAAGTTCTCTTCCGGTCAACTGTCCACCCAGTCAAGTGCAAAAAACACAGTGGAATCACGCAACGCACGTAGCTGGTGTGCTTCCTGCCCACGAGGAAAGAAGAGCGACAAGGATAAGATTTCACTGTTTGCAGCATGGGAGCTGATTACCCAAATAATCCCTGGGAAAAAAGAAAAGATATCTCGGTAACGAAAACCATAGGAGGCTGTATTAGCGAGATCCAACGGTGAACTGCTGCCCAAAAGAAAACCGCCTGGAAGTCCGAGGACCTTTAGTACCTTACCCTAAACCTGAACCAGCAGCCTTCGCGCCAAGCAACGACCGCCCTTGTCCCCTTTGCTTTTTCCATTCCGCCTACTTCCTAGCTTTGTTCAGTCAGTCTAAGGCTTTGCTTCAGTGGTTCGCTTACCCACTTTATTTAGAAAGGGAACGAACTTCACTTAATTATAGGATTTCGAAAGGGAACTCACTTCATTATAGGGTTTCATAGGATTTCGAAAGGGAACTCACTTCATTATAGGGTTTCTGGATTTGCTTTCCAACCCATAGAATTCCTTAATTTCATGTAGTTATTAGCTTTCCGTTTTTCTTTGATGCTTACGGTTGCTCCTATACTTAGAGGGCTCATTTTCTTTTCCGCGGGCTCTTCTTTGAAGCTATAGTTTGCTAGCAGGGTATGCTCTTTAGAGTTTCTGGCGCACTAACGCTTTTATGCCTCAAGATGCTTACGTTAGCTGGGACCGCATTCAATAATAATGAATAGTGGGGAATTCCAAGAATATCCAATTTTCACAAAGAGGTATTTTACGAAGATCTTTCTATCAATAGATAGGAATGAGTGTTCAGGGGATAGGATCCATCTGCTCTCTCTCTATTTGATTTGAGTTTCAATCCATCTGCTCTCTCTCTATTTGATTTGAGTTTCCATTTCTGGATCAATAACTATCCAAAATAATAAGATAGGTAGATTCTTACTATCCAAAATAATAAGATAGGTAGATTCTGAAATAATGGATACATAGAAATCCAAAGGGATGTCCATGTTATTCCTATTCATTGAAAACGCAGAAGGCCGAGCGAGGTGCTGAAAGCCTTCGGGCTTTGCCTTCCCTTTTTCTAATGCCTTACTTCTTTTGCCCTATTTGAGAATGAATGCCTTCTTTTCTTTTGCTTGCCCTATTTTAGAATAAGGAATTTCGGCTCGGGAAAGCGCTGGCAACAACATCAAGGAAGGGGTCTATGTAGCTGCCCGCCTACAGAGCAGCAGGTTCGGCATCTACTACAAATGATATAATCCACTTATTCTAACAACGTCTGTGCTAGGCAGCGTGTGGAATGGAACTTATTAACAGGCCTTTTGGATATATAATCCAAGCCGATAGTGGAGTTACGTGAACAGCCGTCTGATGGAAAACCACTTTCATGTTCGGTTCATAGAGCACTTTTCTCGTTGAGAATTCCTCGTTCTCTTTTGTGTGAATTCCCCAGCTAGAATTAACCACTTTTGGGGCCGCCCCGAAGAAAACCTCCCTCTCTCTCTCTCGCTCGGACTCAATCTCTCTTTTGACTCAATATATGTGGGCACCCGATATCTATGAGGGTTCACCCACCCCGGTTACAGCATTCCTTTCTCTTGCGCCTAAAATCTCTATTTCTGCAAATATGTCACGTGTTTCTATGGTTGGTTCCTATGGAGGTACATTGCAACAAATCTTCTTTTTCTGCAGCATTGCTTCTATGATCTTAGGAGCAGTGGCCGCCATGGCCCAAACGAAAGTCAAAAGACCTCTAGCTCATAGTTCGATTGGACATGTAGGTTATATTCGTACTGGTTTCTCATGTGGAACCATAGAAGGAATTCAAGCACTACTTATATATATTTGGATTTATGCATCAATGACGATGGATGCATTCGCCATAGTTCCAGCATTACGGCAAACCCGTGTCAAATATATCTCTGAATTAGGCGTTCTAGCCAAAACCAATCCTATTTCGGCTATTACCTTCTCCATTACAATGTTCTCATACGCAGGAATACCCCCGTTAGCCGGCTTTTGTAGCAAATTCTATATGTTCTTCGCCGCTTTGGGTTGTGGGGCTTACTTCCTAGCCCTAGTTGGAGTAGTTACTAGCGTTATAGGTCGTTGGGCGGCCGGAAGGTTGCCATGAGTCAGGTTTGGGAAGGCAGTATTCCGTGCACTGGACACGTAGCTTACCGAATCAGTTGCGACACGGATTGGAATGCATACTACGAAATCAAGGGTAGAGTCTTATACATAAACCGTCGACTCCATATCCTTGTACGAGTCCACAATCACTACACGAGATGAACCTGGGTTTGGTGAATATAAGTTTGCCTTAGGTCTAATAGGACTCCCAGTTACAGCGCGCTATCGTATACTGAGGTGCTCCCCATCGGTAGTTGGAACGACGCGGGCCTTGATTCAATTCATCAAGATTCAGGGACAGAGGATTTCAGCACCTTATCATTTTGGGCAGAAAACGAATCGACATCTCCTTGTGATAAAGCCCTTTCAATTGAAGTTGGGAAAGAACGGCGAAGTCCATCCGAAAAACAAACCCCCAATGAATAAATCAGAGGAGAGCCAAGTTTCAATGGCGCGCGAACGAAGCGCATGCAGAACGGGCACGGATAGAGAAATACATAAGTGTGGTGGAAGAGACCGAGCTCATTCCTTTCACTTACTGGGCTGGGCGCAGTGCTTTGTTTCCTGGCAAAATCAAGGATTTGGGGCTTATTCCAAAATCAATAGTCTTAGAAAGAGAAGATGGATCCCAGAGTCTTAGAAAGATAAGATGGATTAAAGGCATCGATTTCTTGTTTCTACTTATATCTAATAAAGGCATCGATTTCTTGTTTCTACTTATATGTTTCTACTTATATCTAATAAAGGCATCGATTTCTTGTTCGCCCCCCCGCTTCAGAAACGGCTCCGCAGCAATGGATGGCAGAGGGTCCGTAGTACCCGAAGCACTGGAGTTATACAGTAACCGGGAAGGGACCTAGAAGTGCCTACAACTTACTACTCAACTTGGCTCCACACATTTACAGAGCTAACCCCTGTCCAGTGTCTGGCAGAACGTTTGGGGCTTCAATCCGGACTCCTTATCCCCTCTCGGCTAACAGAGCCTTACTTATTCAGGGGAGAGAGTATAGCCTCGAGAAGCACTCTGGAGAGGAAGATCCTTTGGCCACTCTTCATTCTCTACTTTTCTCTCTGCCTACATGGAAGCGGGGCAGTGATGGAAAAGATCAAACACGGGTATTTCTTTCGGGCTTTAGCATACCATAAGATCATACACATTTCTCATTCCGCTGACTTTCTTTTTCGTCTCCACAAACTCAGAGAAAGAATCATCTTCTTCAACTTACTATACCTAACCCCTTCCTAGAGCCGTGTATTGTAAGTGATCCGAACCTGTCCCTTCCTAGAGCCGTGTATTGTAAGTGATCCGAACCTGCCCGGAGTGAGCCCCCAAACAATAGGCAAGTTCCGTTGGTGAGCCGTATGATGGGCAACTATCTCCTGCGGTTCGGAGAGGACTCAGCTCTTAGTTAGTACCCGCTTAGTTTCGGGTTAGATCTTTTCACTCTATTTAATTATATAAGAATAGCGAAAAGAATGTTTTTTGATAGACCTAGGACATGGATTCTATTTAAACCTATGGATCGTGACAAGTCGTTACTACTAGCAATGACTTCCTCTTTCATTACTTCATCCTTTCCATATCCCTCTCCCTTGTTCGATCTTACTCATCAAATGGCACTCAGTTCATATCTTTAAGTTCGATCATTAACAAACAAGGTTCAAAGAAAGGGTGGGACATTAACAATGAAGGATCCAACACTTTGGAGATAGGCTAGAATTTACCACGCCCAACTAACTACAGCAGAAAAGAATAAGCTAACAAGAATAAGCTAACAAGCAACGGAATTGAACCAAGACTTAATAAGAATTTGACTCATAACCGGGAATTGAGCTAGCGACCTCAAAGCTGTCTTTCTTTACATAAGTTTTACTTCACTTACTATTAAACTGGAGCTAATGCCAACAAGAGAAGAGTCAAAACCGAGCATGGGAATCAAACCCAGTGATAACAAGAATAACCCAGTGCTAAGTGCTAACAGGACTGTAGCTCGAACCCGGGAATGAAACCAGTGCTATGATAACTCAACTACTCATAAAAAGCACTCTTCTAGGAAGAACAGGGAATCAAACTAATAAGTAAGAGAACGCATCCACTATCGAGAAGGCTGAAGAAACCAACTCCATACAAGAAAGCACTAATACCGATAAGCTTGGCACTGCTTTCTGTCATCCCCGCTACCTAACCAACTTGCTAAGCCCTACTCTGTGGGTTCACCCGTAGCGCTCCGAACTTGAGTCTTAGGCTATTGACTTGCATTCTGTAGTTCCCTTATTGGTCTTATTCCCTGGGGGACCTAATCTTACTTGAAAGCTTCCCTCCTCGCTTAGAGTCTTACTGCCCTGTCTCCAACTCTGAAACTACGAGATACGAGACTATCACTACCAATCCGGATCCTTACTCTCTTTTTCGCTCAATCAGCCTTTCCCGTCTTAGAGCACATATCTCCTGTTTGAGAATAAGCTGCTGGTGCAAGTGCTTCTGCGCCTCTTGTCATTAGTAGTGCTCAAGTATTGTGTTGAGGTAAGAGGTCAGATCAGGCAATTCTCTATTATGGCCCATAACTCGTAGTGGCTTGGTTAGTATATATATACTTTAGGGTTATACTACTTTATTATGTGTTAGTTGCCGGAGTTAGTGGTGAGTGCCTTAGATGTATCGGAGTTGCTTGCCCCCTACTTTAGAGGTTAATTCCCACTATCGAGAGAAGGAAATGAAAACGGAAACTCGTGTTAGTGCTCGCCCCCAGTTTCTAACTTTCATCTATACCAGACTTCTTTGAAACTACTTGATGCAGCTTCACCTTTCACTACTCGTCCTGTTTCCTCCCTCTCGTCAACACCCGTAATTGAACTTGAATATAGTCATCAATTCTTTCAGTTGACTTTAAATAGTGATCGGAAAGGGACTCTCGATCTGGTGTGAAAGCCTGAAACTCTGTTGCTACTATCTGTTGCAACTATAATAAGAGTAGTGAACCAGCGGTGCCAGACAAACAAAGGACTTGGGAATAACTCGAGTAGTCCTGTTCGAGTTGAATCCTAAGTGAAAGAGAGAAAGTGAAAGAGATAGGAGCCGAATGCAGGTAGTCAAGATGAACTCCAGTCCTTGAACTTCCTTAAGTAGTGATTTGGTCTGTTGTTTGTTGGAATTGATTCTCTCGCTGTGTAGTAGGAGTTTGAGAAGTAGAAAGTCAAGTCTATCGTCCTGGTGGCCCTACTCGAACTACAGTTGTTGCTTGAGAAGTGGAAAGTAGAAGAGAAGTGGAAAGTCGAAAAGGTGACCCTGGGTTAACTCCTCTTATGGCCCTATCTTGCCGCACTTACCTGATGATGCATGAAGCCAGCCTAATCACAGTGTTTGACCTCTTTCTAGGTGCACTAAATTCATAAGAATAACAGTGTTTGACCTCTTTCTAGATGCACACTAAATGCAGCCTAATAACAGTGATCTCTTGCAAGGGGTGCACTAAATACATAAGAATAAGACAGAGAGCGGGGTGAGTTAAGTGAGTTCAGCGGTTAAAGGGAACAAAACAAGCAACATCAACTTATTCAACGGAAGAAACATCCTTTTTTGATTGGAGTTTCGCAGTTAGGTTAGGTTCTACTAGTTCTATTCGTTTTGTTTGCACTAAATCATCTTCCACAAGTTTAGAGAGCAATAGAAGGAGCGAGACTTCACTAAGCTATAAGATACAGCGCTGAAGAGGATAGGACAAGAGACGACTTGGACCACTCCCAGAGATCATAGTGCTTTTCTTTTGTTTGCTAAGTTTCACGCCGGTTAACTACCCGTCATAGGGAAATCACCATTCAGTGGACCGCTGTTATGTTATAAGTAGTTTGATTGCTGTTTCATCGGTTTCTTGCTTGACAAATATCAAATAAGAAATAGAATGGAATGAACACACATCTAATATAAGAGAAAGTAACGCGCATCCCGACAATGCTTGAGCACAGTTTCCAATCAAGTATAAAGCAGAGGGTATCTCGTCACATTGACAGAAAGGAGTTGAGTATGTTGTGTGTATTGTAGTAATGTCATTCTTTATTGCGTTAGTTAGCTATGTGAGATAACGTATAGGAAAGTGCTTCGCTTTACCGAGTAGTAGGTCAAGGTTCAGTGAGGGTGTAGCTCAAAGTAACAGAACAAGAAAACATACAAGTGGAACAAGCAGCGGCGAATGAACAAGTAAACAAAGCCTCAGTTCTATGTCAACAACCAACCCCTGTGAGGCTAGGTATAACAGAGCCAGCAGTAAGCAGTGAACAACCAACCCTTGTTTGCTTTGGTAGATCGGAGCTAGCTGTCAGCAGTGTTTTCTTACTCCATTACATTTGTTGTGCACTCAATGATATTCTTTTGCAACTTTGATTCCTATTGATCAGAAGCAAGCATCCAGCTGCGCCAGTAGAAACTATGATGCTACTTTAGTGTAGTGTTACTATGCCTTATATCATGTGCTACTTACAAATAACTATACTGTTACTTCACACCGGATTCCTTACTGTTACTTCACACGGGCCTGGCCCTACTGCTCGAAATCAAGTAGCAAGTCTTCAAGTATCAAGTCCAATCCCCATTCCTTCTGCTCTAAGTCATTCCTTCTTCGGAGTGTCGTATGAAAGCAGTAACGCAGTGTTGTGACCCTCTTCTATAATGTGTCCCTAACCCTAAGATTAGGAGTTCTCTTACTATGCTTCTATAATGGGTGTCTCAGATAATCAATGAATGGTTTACTTCAAACTTAAGCAAACTCCGCCTTGTGTTTAATTCGCTATCAGAGTGAAGTGAAGTCTTGTAGTTAGCCTGTCCTGAATGCGATACAATAGAAGTCTTGAGTGGAGTCTCGCCTGTCAGGAATGCGATAGCAGTATCTGGTTTCGTAGCCTGTAACGTTGAAAGAAACAATAATCAATAAGTTTGCTTGTTTGCTTGTTTACCGTTGAGGCTCCTAACGCTATACTTGATTATACTAAGCTTGTTTGTTACGAGAACTAGAGCTAAGCTTGTTTGTTACGAGAACTAGAGCAGCGCAGAGTCAAAGTGGAATTCTAACTCCAAGGCAATTGATGAACCAATCCAATGAATCTACTCTATACTATATTCTAAGGATTAGATGGTAGAATCGGGAAGCATTAAGCACTAATACTAGAGAGACACACCTTTTATCGGAAAATTCTATAGCAAAGGGTTTCAACTGGCCTAATTAGCAAGATTCGCTGAGAATGAAAGGGTTCGGATGGGATTTCGATCAGAGGTCTTTTGGCGAAACTGGGCTCAGTAACCTTTTCTATCCTTCCATTTCTAAGAGAGTATTAGCCATAGAAGGATAAAGGGCTTGCAAAGCTCCCGCTGTCATTCCTATGTCGGGTATAGAAGGTTAAGAGGAAAACCAAAGGAAGGTGATGAGCTCCGTTAGCGAGTTATTAGGCGGAAAGTGGAGAGTTAGGTGACCGCTCCGTGTTCGCCTTTCTTTCCTATAGCCTTAACCACATAGTGGGCAAAACTCACCTCAGCATTAGAAAAAGAGCTTATTGATAACGAATGATTAAGTCGCACCCCAAGTATACGAGTTCAGGTCAATAAGTGGAGTTTCTAGAACAATCAAAGGATGTAGTGAGCTTTGGAACAGAATAAGCAAGGGAACAAACAACGGAACAAGCTTTGGGCAAGAAAAGAAAGAGTACTAAACTATAGTATTGTATAAGGGTCGGGTAGTTATTGTATAGTATTGTATAGTATAGGGTGGTTCGTCTGCCTCTAAATCCTATTTTCTTCAAGGAACAGCGAAAACAAACTAGTCACAAGACAAGCCCT